TCTGAACGACTAAAGTTAATTGAGTCTACTTTCCGAGTACAGCACACGTAGTAAATTTCCTGCTGACAGAGTAATCTAAGTAGGTAAGGAAGAAAAAAAAAAACTAAACAGCCCATTCAGGAGTACTATAGCGAAACCCACTCATTCTGCGATTCCCAGACCAACATACAGCAAAGTTAGAAACTTTGCGCCCTGCAAGCCATCGGACTTCACAAACCGCCTGCTAGAAACACGCACCGTGCGATTCCTCGCTACCCCGCTGCTCAGCCAACTCATGAATCGTGGGCGACATCCTTTTTGAAACAGCCTTGCAAAATCTGAACGAGTGAATTTCAACCCCCGGGTTAGAATGGCCGGAGACTATGGCAAGGAAAGCGCCTGCGTGCGCGTCACTAGCTGCGCAGACGCATAAGATTTTTGTTGAATGTAAATACAGCTGTCAGTGTAGAAAAGTTACATTGATTTGAATGTTGCAACAGAAAAGGCGTGGAAGTGATGTGTTGGAACTGTGTACCTTGGAACTGCTATGTCTACGTTTATTTTTGCCAATTATTAAACGTGTTCCGTTTCCAGATTTCCGCTGTATTGCCAGAAATCATATCTCATATTGTTTATTTATGGACATATTTAACCAAATTTAACGGACAATGATGGAAATACACCTCGGGCTCCTCTGCATTTGTGTGAGTTTGCAAAGCAAAAATACCATTTGGGAAGGGGATGAGAACTCAAAAGGCTGGAGACTCCTTTTTGCTTTAATATTTTAGAGGGCAAGGCGTAAAGAAAGAAATTGAAATCCCTTCTGTGGCCTCAGTCCCAATAGAAAGAGGGTAGGGTTGCTTATTGCAATTGCTTAATCAGATTAATCGCTTAATCTTGTAACTGCCCTAATAATAGAAGTCTTCCGAGGTGAATCTACAGCAGGGGTGTCCAACCTTGACAAATTTAAAAACTTGTGGACTTCAACTCCCAACATTCCCCAGCCAGCATGGTTGGCTGAGGAATTCTGGGAATTGAAGCCCACAAGTCAAAGCTGTCAAGATTATACACATCTGATCTACAGGCTTCAGGGAATCGTTTTCTCTGCAGCCAGATCCAAGTTTTCTTTGCAAGATTTTCTCTGCACACCAAATTTGGTCACAATCAGTTCAATTTGGAGAAATTCTTCTATTTGGTCATCCCGAATATTATAATTCAACGTTTCCAGCATTCCTTTCCTTTGGTAAAGACTAAAAAGGTTTATAAAAGTACTTTCCTTTTAAATTAAAAACTAAATGTGGTGAGCAGTGTTTCTCAACCTTAGAAGGTTTAAGATGTATGGGCTTCAACTTCTGAAATTCTGGAAGTTGAAGTCCATGACATCTGAAAGTTGCCAAAGTTGAGAAATGCTGGTTTAGGGGAAAGGGTCCAAAGCTGTCTGTGGCTGTTTTTTATTTCGTGTAACTTGTAACTGCCCTAATAATAGAAGTCTTCGGAGGTGAGAGCAGAATCTCAGACATTGTGCCACTACTGTAGGGGTATCATCTAGGTCAGGGCTTTTCAACCAGTGGTACATTGGCACCTGGCAGGTGGTACGCGACCATCCTAGAAAAGTGGTAGCGGGGGAGGGGAATGAGCTGAACCGGTGGCAGCACCGCACAAGCCTGAGCGAGAGATGGCTGGAGCTGCAGGGCTGTCAGGGCTCAGCGGAAGCGTCAGGATCAGCGCTTCTTCGGGACTGTCAGGGCTCAGTGGAAGCGCCAGGATCAGCGCCAGGCTCTAGCTGGAGCTCGGTGCTGAACCTGGCGCTTCTGCTGAGCACAGAAGAAGCACCGATCAGCTGGAATGTTGCAGCATTTCCAGGGTCTTGTGATTTAAATTCAGATGCTTGGCAACTGATTCATATTTATGATAGTCACAGTGTCCCAGGGTCATGTGAAGTGACCAAAACCTGCTGCAACCACCCAGCAGATTGGGGGAATAAAAAACAAACACCCCCACCCACTCCACCCCTGCTGCCAATCCTCAACAGAAATGTTCACAACAATGAAAATCTCAGACAGGAGGAAGAGCACCGCCAGGTGGGCAGGCAGGTGTCTTGCTCGGCTGTGCCTTGGGGAGCACTTTTTTCAGTGCCATTGTAACTTCGAACAGTCACTAAGCGAACTGTTGTAAGTCGAGGACTACCTGTACTTCATCACTTTTTTCCTTTTTTTTCTTTTGGTCATCAAGTTTTTGACACCTTGCTGGGCGACCGGTGGTACTCAGATATTGCCATATCCTAAAAGTGGTACAATGGGTGAAAAGATTGAAAAGCCCTGATCTAGGTTACACAAAGAGGAATCAACTAAGTAAATGCTGATTTTAAAAAGGGACACACTGCAGTAAGTCAAGATTTTGTTAAGCATATTTTGTTTAATAAATGAGAATTCTCTGAGTTCAGACATTGCACTAGGCCACATTACAAGAAATCACATAATTAGTATAATGTCTGAATGCAGTCACTATAGACTTTTCCCATTATCCAGGGTACAAAAAAAGTCTACACAGCTCCTACATTATTCACTGACTATTAGAAGACAGTTCATTCTTATTCATTGTAAGCAAAGCACTGATACGATGCACGGAGAGAGATCTTGGAAAATGATCCCTGACAGATCATCCTCAAACATCCAGCACTGTTAAGAATAAATAGCCAAAGGTGTTACCCTTGAGACTTGCACATTCTGGTTATGTCTTCATACTACAGTCCAACTAACTTTCTGTTGCATTCATACTTCACTGAGACAGAATATGGATAATTTGTTTGGGGTTATTTGATAATGTGTGTGTTTGAGTATAGGAATAGATCAGTGGATCCAGTTCCCCCAAATGCCTCCTCGTTATCCTGGGAAGTCAAATATAGCACTAGGTGTTCCTTAAAACATTTGTAACTCTATTCAATGAAGCAGAATAACAGACATGCCTAAATTTTGTGCATCACAGAAGGTGGCATCATGTAGCCAATCCTGGAAAAAGCTAAACAGGATGAGAGCTAGTTAGTCATTGGATGGAAGATTACCAAACTATCTCAAACTGTAAGCTGAACTAGGAAGTAAAAATCTTTAGAAGGAGCCATGATAGACTACTTCCATGTTGATGCTATCACGCACTGAGCTAGTAAATTCAACTCAACCTGAATTTTCATGCAAATTCTAAAGCCCATATCAAGAGAGAATTAAACTATAGGATTCTGTGTTTCATCTAGAACTATTATATTGTTGGGTCTCAGACTGTGACCCCCTCCAGGGGCTCCAAGCAGCTTAAAGAAGGGTTGCAAAGGGGTTTTTGTAAAACCTGAAGCAAGTTTGCCCATGCTCAATTATTTTACTTTATTGTGCAGAAACATAAATTCATCTATTATTTTAGGAGATTGCAATACTGCAAACTTAAAGAACTTGCAATAAAAACAAACTGAATCTGCATGATGTTAAGCACATCAATATACTACAAATACCTGTTAGCTGATGGAATGTAAGCAACAGCATATTGACTTGCAAAGTAATTTCTAGATTCGATATACTAATTTGCATAAAACAATGGACTATGCCCCATCTGATAATGATTTATAAGCATTAGGGTAGGCTTTTGCCTTATATCAGACATGTCAAATTCGCAACGTCACGTGACGTCGCGAAACATATCGGGACAGTTTTGCCATTGCCGGCAATGGGGTGGGTCAGCTTCCGCGTGACGTGTCTGGCCTATGGGCTGGCAGTTTGACACTCCTGCCTTATATCTTGCCTTATCTTTTCTTTCACTCTCTCTTCTTACTCTTTTTCTGAAGTGCATAGTGTTACTTCCTCTGAAGCAAACTGTGTGATTTATTATACATTCTACTGAAACCTATAACCCAGTATATTCCAATAATATCTTTTTTTATCACAAATCTGTTCTTTCAGGTAGTTGCCCCTGGGACCAGCTGGATCAATGTCTTTGAGAGGAAGAAGAGCAGCAGCAAAAAGAATCATCTGCACTCTGATTAGAAAAAAAAACATAAATAAAAAAGATAGATGCCTCACTACATATAAAGCAAATAAAGAAAAACTAAAAAAAAAAAATGAGGTGAGAATCCGGTTGCCCAGAAGACATGCCCTTAATATTTAAAGGTGAATCAGTTTAATCTCAGAAACTGAATCAGTATTAAGGCTTGAAAAGCAGACTTTATTTTGAAGGCACATTTTAATAGTAGTAGATTGTACAGTTTTCTTTGCTTATTGTATGAATATTTACTTTTTTGCATTTATTTCATGGGATTGTTAGGCTTCAGATAAAATAGATTTTCTACAAACTGTTGAAAGAACTTAACTGGCAGGACGTACCTTAGACTGGTTGTAATAAAATGTCAATATTGTTAGAATTAACCAAGACCAATTACAACAGAATAATGAATATAGCAGAGAGCAGACACCATCCTAAAATATGGAACTCCCTTATAATATCCAGGCTACTAACACTGTGCCCTTTCAAACTGGGCATTGGTTTTAAGGTGAAGGCTATTATCACCGTTAAGATGATGCCCCTGTCATCAACCTCTTAGAATAATTCCAGAGGTTTCGTGATTTTATACCACTAGAATTAGAATTCCTGTGCAAGCTTCACATTGAAAACAACAAAACAATCTCATATGATTATTTGGCATGACCTGGGTTTTTATTTTCTCTTGTATATGCAGTTCCACTTGCACAAGCATATTAAACCTCAGTATCCATAGATGAAAGCATTCCCATGGTATGAAAGAAAAAGGAGTTGCATGGAGGGAGGTTGTGGAAGACCTGGATAAAATGTTCAGAATTCTTGAAAACATTTCATGTTTTGAAAATCAAAGTTATGCTAGATTTGTTTTTTTTGTTTGTTTTTTTCAAAGGCATATTTTCTTTTCTTTTGTTTTTCCTGAGGCTTTCTAACTTGGCACTTTGGGATTATCCACTTTTAATTTAAAAAGAACAACAACAATCTGATAAGGCAGGGGGGCAGTGCAGCCTGTCACTGTATAAGCTTGTTCAAGTACATATAAACAACATAAAAACTCATCATGCTGCACACTACGTGGGCATTGCTCCTTACTGAATGTTCCTGCTAAACTTGAGAAATTGTAGTGAGGTCAGCTTACTTATTTTTTTTCAAGGAGCAAACTGGAATATATCTAGTTTCACTTGCCCACAGAGTCAGTCCCCAGTTACAGATCGCTTTCCCCATACAATGCTGATGAAAATGAGGTATAGTCCAGAGCTCCAGGAACAGCTCCTGGTCCCTTGTAGGCTGGCATTCGCTTGATGCAGTATTGAGCTTGTTCAGATGGCAGTTCTCGGTTCAACTCTTCAGCAAGAATATATGGCTAGAAGGATTGAAAAGGAGGAATGTGATGAGCTTTTTTCTGATACTTCAGAATCAAAACAAGCGGTGAACTCCCTTTGATGAGAACAAGGATGAGATTGGGCAGACACTTCAGTTATACAGATTAGCCTTCTCCAATCTGGTGTCCTCACTGTTTGCAAAATACAGAATACTTCAAGGGCACAAGCCTGGACTGAACTAGCACTGATCCATAGTACCTTATTATGGAATTTATTTGTTTATTTGTTTGTTTGTTTCATATGGCCATCCAATCTCAAACAAAGTAAAACTGGGTGGCATACAGAAAGAAACATAACAACAAATACAACCTGAACAAAAACATTACATTAAAGGCCAACTAAAACAGTAAACAATGACATGGCAATCAGACTAAAATATGCTACAACTAAACCAATTGGGATTTAATTCAACTGGGCCCCAAGGCCTGGAGAATCAGCCATCATAAAAGATCTGCAAGGTCGGGACTGTGTGTGTGTGTGTGTGTGTGTGTGTGTGTGTGTGTGTGTAACCTAGAGTAGAAACTTAAAATATAGCTAGAAGCAGGATTGTTTTCACCAATTAATCAAAGCCCCTAAATTTTGCATGCTAATTTTTTGAAACACTCTACAGATTTGTATTGAAACTTTTAGGCTGGGGTAAGGTTGAGTTTTTGGAATCCTGTTTTACTAAGGGAATGTAATAAGACACTTGGAGCATTTTAGGGAGATAAATATAAGGATGTAAGGACACACACTAGATATGTTAAAGTATTTTCATATATAACTTTAAGGCAGCTCTTTCCCACACTTTATATCTACAACCTCTGTAGATTACTCTTTTCTGAACATATGAAAGTCTTTATTGCAGTTGGCGCAGTGAGTGTGCATTATATGACACTGAAAAAGACCTCAGGCTGAAATAACTGTTTTGTGCAGGTATGCTTTACAATTATTTCAGCTTTATTCAAACACAATAATGCAGATCCCCACCCACAAAACTGCAGCAGATAGCATGAATATGTTTGGGGGTAAAAAAACAGAAAACTGGAGACTGTCATTGAATGACAATAATAAGTAGAAAATCTGTAGCCAACAAAAGTCCCAGTCCTTACATCCTTATATTTATCTCCCTAAGATGCTCCAAGTGTCTTATTACATTCCCTTAGTAAAACAGGATTCCAAAAACTCAACCTTACCCCAGCCTAAAAGTTTCAATACAAATCTGTAGAGTGTTTCAAAAAATTAGCATGCAAAGTTTAGGGCTTTGATTAATTGGTGAAAACAATCCTGCTTCTAGCTATATTTTAAGTTTCTACTCTAGGTTACAGCTAGCTTAGTTTGCATTTGGATACCCCCTTGTCTTGCAAGGGTAGAATTTGTAGAAACAATCACAGCAAATGGGAATCCTTTCACTAACCTTATCTGAGGCTAGGATTCTGAAAGAAGCAATAACTTGTTCAGCAGTATCAGTATCAGCAGTCTCTCTGGTCATGAAATCAATAAATGATTGAAAGGTAACCGTTCCCTGACCGTTGGGGTCAACTAAGGACATGATTCGGGCAAACTCGGCTTCACCCTAAAATACAATTAAAAATTAGTTATGAAAATTATAATGCATTTTTTTAGAAAATTAATCAAATATTCAGCATCATGTGTAATCTGCCAAATATCAGATTTTGCATGTTTTAAGTATGCAAAAATATATTAACATTAAACATTCTTAAATCCATTGGAAGCATATGTTAGGCTGAATGTTCACTATGGATTTCACACAAATAGTAAAAGAAAAATATATAAAAGATAGGAAGGAATCCACTAAGATTTACTGCATTGGTTGCAACCTGGATAGTCAGGTGATCAAGACCTTGAACCAAATTGCTTCCATGCAGCCTCTCTAGAAATCCTGCAGTGTGGCTTGGTTTTTTGAGAAGGTCCAACAGATAGAGCATCATAAGAGATATCTAAAGCACTACTAGATGAAGTCAAACAGAAATTGGACCAGATATGAGTAAAAGCTCATATTCAGGCCTAGATTGTGACAGAAATATTGTTATCAGGGGTCCTTGATGCTCTCTGAGCTTGGCTGTTTTCTTGCAGATGTTCTTACCCAAACTTATCCAAACTAGATAACATCATCAGTGCTAGTAAGGAATAGAATTTGTTGTCAATTTATATTCTAGTGGCTTGCCCTGTTAATGTTGGTGGGACTGGTATTGGGGTTTTTTTTGGATAGGCTATTTACTGTTACCTTGTTGTTTATCTTGGGTTGCAGAGATAAAACTGTCAATGTATTGCCTCCAACTTCTGAAGGTTATATACATCTACATAGGAAGGAACAAATTCAAGCTCTTCCTTGACAAGATTGAGTGACTGTGGATATTTGGGGTCCCTAGGTCTAAGTCAGTCCTACACTCTGGGATTTCATCTTTGCTCTTGGATGGGTTTGCACTTCCCCACTCAAGACTAGTGTGCAATTTGGAGGCCTTCCTAGACTCACAGCTACTACTCAATGAAGAGGCAGCAGCTATGATCACAAAGGTCCTTGTACAGGTTCACCTCGTGTGCCAGTTGCATCCTTTTCTCAACCAGAGGTTTCTTTAGATGGTCACTCACACTGGTCATCTCAAGGCTAGGCTAAACTATTACAAGAGTGGCTGCTCTTGAAGACAATCTGGAAGTTACAGCTGGTTCAATATGAGCAGTAAGGGGTGTTTCTCATTGCACCCACATGGCATCAGTGCTTTATGAGCTGCAATGGTTACCAGTTGACTTCCGGGTGCAGTTCAAAATTTACATGGAACATAGAGCTAGGTTAATTGAAGGGGTACCTATTCAACACAATTGAGCATAAAGTTGGATATGCTTTGAGTTCCTTTAGTTAAATTCTTTACCTTGTAGGACCAAGGAGGAAGGACTTTAGTGTTGTAGCACCTGCCCTTTGGAACAGTATCTTCCCAGAGATATATGTAGCTCCCACCCTTCAGATGTTTTGTAAATCCATGAAAACTTCACTCTGTTTCCAGGCCTAGATTTAGGTCATTTGTAGAAATTCTAACAATTTTTGATTATTATTCATGGGTTTCTGTCTGGACAATCATACTTTTCTATTTTATGTTTTAAAATTGCAAGTTAGCCAGAATATTTTGGAAGTCAGATGCCTTCAATATCTGACAGATAAACAGACAGATAGAAAAAATATTCAAATTTGAAATGTAACCTATATATGAATGCATGATAAATGTGCACAATGTTTTAGTATGAATATATATGAATATATACAGTATAAACAGCTGTCTGCATAGGGTTCTAGAAATTAATAAGTCTAATTATATACACACCCAAGAATAAAATCCATTGTGGAGTTTTCCTCTGAGAAGATAATTTATAATATCTAATGTACTAGGATTTTGAGTGGGCTGAACTTTAACCACAGGAATTTTACAATTACATCTATAATGGTCACTTTGTTAATGTACGTGTAATGATAAAGTAAGTGTAACATGGGTTACTATCACAAATTAACTGCATCTTAAAATTCATACCAAATCATAACCCATTGAAATTAAGCAGGCCCTGAAATCTTCATGATCCATCAGCCCATTTTTCTTCTGTTGGTAGGAACAAACAGCATGGAAGATTCAAGGATCAGAATAAAGCCATCATAATTTCCGTAAAGATAGAATAGGTTCATCATCAGATGTATCATATGTTCATTCAATACCAAATTGAATCACCAAAAAACAGAAGAAAAGGAGATGTTAGATTACATGAAATAGATATAATGCTAGAAAGATGCTAATGAAATGTAAACAAACAAAAATGTATGAGAAAGGCATAAAATACAGCATTTTTAGATAAGCCAAATTCAATTAGGAAGGCAGTTTTAAAGTAACATTTTTTAAAAAGCTGCACAATAAAAAAAAAATAAGATGCACTTCCAGATTCTAACATTTCACAAGAAGTGCAAGATTGTTAAATACTGTTTTATAAAACTGCTAAGCTAGAAGTTGAAAGTACAGGCTACTGGAGTCTGGAATTGGTATTGCAATGATACTTAGTTTTTCCATAATTTTACATGTAGCTCTGATAGGAAAGAGTCATTATGTGTTTCATCTTGTTTTTGTGAACACTAGAATTTCCATTAAAGTGTATTCAATATTGTAGGTAATGCAAAGCATGATTATTGATTCTCTGTAATTGTGTTGTACACTATAGGATTGTGGTGGACTGGAGATTTCTTCCATGAAAAAAGCATATGTTTTTATCTGAGTAAACAATGGTATGAAAGCTCACACCCATGTATATTGCCATCTGATTTAAATTGAATAACTTCAAAAAAATCAAATCCAGAAGCAGCATCCACACAGAGAACTTGTTCACATATTTGAATCCCATCACTGCACACATCAATACACATGTAGTATCCAAAGAACAAATGTTTGAGTTGTTCTTTGGTTTTGTGAATAGATTTGAATAATGGTTCCTTTTCCCTCAGGAATGGAAATATACAGAGAAGAAAAGGAAAACTATGGCAAGCACTTAAGAAAAAGGAATACTGCAAGGACAATTGAGAGCAAAGTTGTGAGCCAGGACCTCTGGAATGCAGAAGTTGGCTAATGGCCAGAAAAAGGAAGTGATCAGGTACAAGAATTCCATAGCGATCTGTGGTTGTCCTGAGATGGCCCATCCCAACCCTATCCCAAGCCCCATCTCAATTTTTCAAATTTCTATCCCATTCTGTATTATAATTTCGGAGTCTTGATTGTGTTCTACGCTTTTGAAAAGGGAGCAGGGAGACATGCAAATATTTTTTCCAATTCCAATTGCACATTAAAAAGTAAATAAAATAAAATGGATAACCGCACCCTGTCAAAGTGATTAAATGATGCTCTGAATTCATTCATTTGCTGCTGAGTTATTCCTTTAGCATCTCTTGTAAGGATTTGGTTTTCAATTTCATTGATAGTTCGGGCAATGGTAGTCAACAACAGCTCCCATCCAACCCGGATATGCTGCAGCAGAAAAAAAGAAGGATAACCTTAGAACACTCCAAAGAACTAAAGTGCCAATGACTGCTTGTGAATGGTATACTCTGGGAGCTCATTCCAACTAGTCAGTGAGAATATAACAACGTAACAGAGTAATTTAAAAAACTTAATTTAAATTAAGTATAAATAAATTTAATTGAGGACAGTGAACAAGATTATGGGCCATGTCATCTTTTTATAATTTCTCCTTTCAATCGTATTAAAAATGTAGAGGAATTCTTTCTTCGTGAGCATGAACAATTCTGAAGTTCTGGGTTGTCACCCAGATACAGAAAAAATAGGTATCCTACCTATTTTTGAAGCTTAAAACGTCTTGGCTATTCCAATTCACAAGGCAAAGTACTTCCCAAACTATATCTAAAGGACTGTATCCAGTTCAGAACTATTACCTGGAAGCTTTTCACCAATTCCCTCTCATTTGGACATGTCAAAGCCATGTCATTATCCTAAGTTTTGAGATTCAATCTTCAGTATATTTTACAGTGAGTCCCTGAGGTTTATTAAAGGTTGACTTATACTGCTTGCAGAGCCCTGCCTGGTGAGGGAAGATTGCCTGGAAAATTTTCTTTTAGGGTCTAGTACAGGGGTAGGCAACCTTGGCTCTTTTATGACTCGTGGACTTCAACTCCCAGAATTCCTGAGCCAGCCATGCTGAGGGGAAAGAGAGGTTTTCCAAGCTGAGCCATGCTGGCTCAGGAATTCTGGGAGTTGAAGTCCACGAGTCATAAAAGAGCCACGGTTGCCTACCCCGATCTAGCATTTGCCCTGACTTTCTTGTAGCTTCTAAAAACATTTTAAGATACTGATTCTGATTAACAACCATATAAGTGATGTGGACCTTTCATATTTAAGAGATGTGCAAAACCATTGTCCGTTATTTACAAGCCACAGGAACCTAGTTCTCAGATCACAGTAACCCAAAAACAAAATGGCTAAATTATGACTTACCGTATATTTTAATTCTAATTATTCCAGAATCATTCTGGCACATTAGGCTACAAGTTATCGTCAGCCCTGGCTGCTGATTACCAGCTCATTGCTATCTTCTACCATGCCCTCTGGGGTAATAGTGGGCTTCTGGCCAGACAGGATCCCAGAAATTTGCCAATCATAGTGTCTACCTTCAACAAATGGTCTTTACTCATTGTATTTTTCATATTTAGTATCAATGGTGACATGATAAGGTTTTGCTTATCAGAGCAACTGCCTTTTCTACTGTTTCTCATCATAAATCTCTGCCTTGATAGAATTACAGTAGGATATTTTTAATGCTACTCTTTCTTGTGGTATTTTATAAAAGTAGCCAAGTCATTTTAGGCAAGTGTACAGAGGCCAGATATAAAGTGATTTTGGTTTTACTTTTATATTCTTTTCCAACAGCTAAAAGCTGTTAGGAACCTATTTTGTAAACCCTATTTATTATGATTATTTCCCAATATGAATTGACAGGGCAAGGAATGAGACCTAAATCCAAGAAAGTATTTGCTGGACTGCAATACTATCAAGAAAAGTAAGAGAAAATTCATGGTTTATTTTAAAAGTTGTTGACAATTTAGGACCAGAAGGGATTTCCCAATTTTGCAGTGCAACTACATTTAAGTTTAGAAACTGCCAAGGCATGCAATAAATTACTCTGATGAAGTTGATTAATATTTGGATAAATGTTTTATAGCAAAGTAATTTTAAAAAATCATGACAGAGTTTCCTATAACTGAAGAATATTTTAGGTTTACACCACCTTTAGAACTGGTATAACAGCATGACTGCCAAGCTAGGTGGCAGCATCTAGCCAACCTTGATTGATCTCAAGAAGCTATGCAGTTGTACTTTTTATTATTACAATTGTAGCCGTTTAAAAAATAATTTTAAAAACTGGAAAGTATGTCCACCCTTCAGTGTAGTTGTGATTCTTTATAAATTCTCATGGCTGCACTTAGGCAAGCTTGGCTGGTCCCCAAAAGTTAAGCAGCATGAGGCATGGCTGATTTTTGGCTGGGAGACTACCAGGAAATCTCAGAGTTATAGGCTTAGCATGCTGTGTAACCTAGACATTGTAGCTTAGTGAATAAACCACCATTAAGGAAATCATGTTATGAATCAGATCTGGGTTAACCCCTGCTATTGTCAGGCTTGGCAAGACTGTTATTTTTCTACCTCAAAGATTTTCCAGCTGAAACCTCTTGAACCTTCTCCAAAGTTTCATAGAAAGGCTCAGTGCTATTGTGCCACTCTTGCAAGATTCATGGGACGTGGACCAGGCAACAGAGCTTCTCAGAGGTGGTTCCACGCTTTATGAAAGGCTCTTCCTGGAAGTATAAATAGCCCAATCCTGCTTATTGTTTGTGAACAAGTTAGAGCTAAATTGCTCGTGTGGGCTTTTGACTCTTTGTTGTTCTAAGGAATCATGTTCATGTAGTTTGGTTTTATTTATGTTCTCCCTCTTATATTTAATCTTTTATGTTATTGTTATGTGCTAAACGTCAGTCAGGACTGGGGTAGAATAAATGCTGGTAAAATAAAATGATGTTTTAGGATTGAATGAAAATGCTTGTGATTTTTTAAAAACAACACTGAAAGACAAAAGTCCCTAGTATCAATGTGAAATACATGCTGCAGCAAGACTGTATATATAAAATTAATTAAAGACCAGATTTACCTCCATTGTGTAATTGGTATGCTTATTATCAAAGACCAAAGCTTCCTGTATCAGTTGATAGTCTCCTTCTAGTTTGTCAATATTATGTTTGTAATTAATGATATTGTGCTCCTGCTGCTTTAACTGGGTCATCTGGTCCTCTAATGGCCCTGCGATATCCACCGAAGTTCGGCCAATTTCCTGCCATAGAGAAAAAAAAAAGAGAAAAAGCTTTCTTTATTTTGCAAAATGTTTTGGCTTATGTTAAGAGAGCAGCAAATACACACACACACACAAGGACAGGCAATTTGTACAGGGATAGAATTTGCTTAGAATTTCTGATCTAGAGCTTCTGCAGATCTTGGTTGTACTCACCTCCATCTTGCTCTGGATCCAGGGTCCAATGACGTTGGCCTGAGCAGCAAACTGACGGCGCAGGCGTTCATTTGTATGCTGACGAGAAAGCTCCTCCTGCAGTGATTGATCTCTTACAGGCACAAGTTGTTTGACCTGCCAGTGTGCAAAATTAAATTAGTCTGTAGCCTATATCTGCTTTTATTTTTATTACTTAACAACATTTTGAAAAAACTGAAAAAAAACTGTTCTAAAAATACACATTTTAATCAATATTAACTGCAGGTGATACTTCCTCTAAAGCACGTGTGTCAAACTCGCCATGTTACATGACTTTTGTTGCATTGCCAGAGCTGGGGTGGGCGCGGCCTCTGTATGATGCAACCGGCCCGCAGGCTGGCAGTTTGACACCCCTGGTCTAGCAGGATACTCAGATGTTATGAGAACATCTGTGAAACAGATGGAGCCAAAATGTTCCTCTTTTACTGGAAAGGGAGACCATGTGGCACAGTTATGAAAGAACATGAACACAGGTTATTAAAGTTCAGGTTTACACAATGAATAGTTAAATTAGATAGAACTAGCAGTGAATGAAATCAATGATTTAAATCCGAGTGGAGTTAATCCAGAATTCTTTCATCTCCAAGATAGCAACTTAGAAGGCATTAGACATATCTCTAAGCTAGCTCCAAATTCAGGGAGATCCAAACCCAAATTTCTCTTCCAAGACTAGATGTTCCTGACTTTAGAAACCCTTATATTTAAAAGGCTAACAAAGAAACCAAAAGGGATTCGGGAATAATGAGTCATATTCCTGACAGCAAGTAGTGCATTAGGCAAAACTTTGGCTATGTTTGAACATTTCCTTATGGATAATTTAGTAATTGTTTATCAAATAAACTAATTTTCTTGGTTTGTCAGACACACTGAGCCATAAACTAATCACACTGGCTATATTCCCAAATCATGATCCAGAGCGAATATCAAACAGGTTTCATTCATCAAAATAAGCTGGGCTGATAATTTTTAGAAATTATGTGAAGTTATGCACACTAGTATATGTTGCATAATAAAATACCCCAAGAAAAGAATTCCTTAAGGCCATTTAAGTACAAAGTCTGAAAGGCCTATATCCCAAATAATAACTTATGAACCCAGTGGTGGGAGATCATGCGATAATGCCAAGAAGAAGAGAAAAGTCGCTAAAGGCAAATATCTTATCTATACTTACCTTTGAGGGAGTCATCTTAAATTCAGAGTCACTTTTCTTTTGGGTTGATGTAATATTTAACTGCATCATTATTGGTTTTTTTTTAATGCAGAAAACAGTTTTGCTACAATCCAGAGTGTTTAATTTGGCTAAGAGAGGAGTATAGCTCTGATTTCATTTATTTTTGCCAATACAGTGGTAATGTATATCAGTGCAAACTGATTCATTTATCTCTACCAATGCATCTCTTTCTACCACAAAACCATTATATCTATCGTAATGCATCAGGAACTCTTCCACATCATATCAATCTTCTTATTCCTCTATTAGACAATTTAAAAGATTACAGAGGGTTTTTTAAAAAAGAAAAGAAAAGAGAAAACAGAGTAGCCCTATCCTAACTAATTTTTAAAAGCAGCCAATTATGAGAGGAAAAATCTGCAAATTGTTGTGTGGCTGGACTTCATCTGTCCTACTAAATGTTATTCTCCACTGGTGAGGTTTCTCAACTTCCACCCAACAGCCCATGACAGAAACATGATATAACCAGTATAAAAGAAGTATATATCTATACCATTCCTTCTGCATAATATTAGTTATATTAGCTCAGGAGTTTTTGTTTTCAGATTTTGCTTTAGAAGCAGAATCGTAATGTTTTTCCCAGATGTATTGTGATCCTGGACTAATTTCTAAAGTGTAGCTGCAAGGTATACAGTGCTACATATTTGTAAAGTCTTAAGTGACAGCAGCGCCACAATTATTTTATGAATGCTTATTCTTTTTGTTGTCTTTTTATTCTTTCATTTCTGAGATTTGCTGGCATCCTAGCCTTTCGATATTAAGGTAGAAGAGACATTTGTTCTCTTCTGCCATTCCTCCCTGTTATTTCAGAAACATTATTTTGAACTTCCTGAAAATAAAACCATAAAGCTTAGACATGAATAGGCTGAACTTTATTTTCTTGCTGCCAGGCAAAGCCAACCGTATAGTATAGATAGTCCTCAACTTTTGACCACAATTGGGCCCAAAGTTTATGTTGCTAAGTGAGAAATTTGTTAAGTGATTTTGCCCCATTTTACGACTTTCTTGCCACGTTTGTTAAGTGAATCACTGTACAGTAGTTGTTAAATTAGTAACATGGTTGTTAAGTGAATCTGGTTTTCCCCATTTACTTTGCTTGTCAGAAGGTTGCAAAAGGTGATCACATGACCCCCGGAACACTGCAACTGTCATAAATGTGAGTCAGTTGTCAAGCATCCTAATGTAAATCACATGACCATGAAGATGCTGCAATGGTCATAAATGTGAAAAATGGTCATAAGTCACTTTTTACAGTGGCACTGTAACTTTGAACGTCACTAAGCAAACTGTTGTAAGTCAAGGACTACCTGTATTCAGCAATTGTTTATCCATTGCATCCTGTTATACAGTTGTTCCTTGACTTACAACTGGAACTGGAACCAGAACTTCTATCTCTAAGCGATGTAGTCATGAAATGAATTGCATCTGATTTTTTTGACCATTTTTGCCATGGATCTTAAGCAAATCACTACAGTTGTTAATTGAATAACTCGGTTGTTAAGTGAATCCAACTTCCCCTGCTGACTTTGCTTGTTGGAAGCCCTTTGGGAAGGTTACAAACAGAATGCTGCAATTGTCATAAATACATGCCAGTTGCTAAGTGCCTGAATTTTTATCACATGATAGCAGGGACGTTGTGATGGTTGTAAGTGCGAGTACTGGTCGTAAGTCCCTTTTATTCAGCACTGTTGTAACTCTGAACAGTCATTAAATAAATAATTGTAAGTCGAGAACTACCTGTACACCCAAGAACAACAGTATCTTCCACATTCCTAATACTACTTGTACTAAAGCAGAAAAAAAACACTAAAAGAGTAAACTAAAAAGTTAATTATCCCAGGAAGAACCTCATTTTCCCCATCCTGTAATTAATCACAAACAAACCTACGTACTCCTGTATTTTTACTTCCACTTACTTTATCCCACTTAGTACGAATCTCTTCCATAGTGACTGTGCTGTAAGGATTGCTGGTACTTATTCTGAGGCTGTAGCTCTGAATCACCTTTTCCACTTCATTATGGATGGACAAAATAGCTTGCCTCTCACCATCTGCTTCAGGTAGAGTGGCTTTAAATTGTTCATGGGCAGTAATTAAACTCTGAAAGAAACAAAAGGAAGAAGAGGTGGGGAGGGACCAACCTGTGGTTTGGCACTTTTCTTCTTCCTCCACCCCCATCCCCCCACCCCCCTTGCCTATATAAACATTTTCAAGATTGTGTAGCAGGCACCTCTGCATAATCAGTGGTGAGTAAGTACATTTCATTTCTTGTGCCAGTATAAAGGGCAAACAGTGAAACTGAGAAGGGGGGGAAGGCCCAGAAAAAAACACTATACATTATTTGGAAATGTGGATAACAGGATCCTGGTTTTCTTTTACAAAAAGAAAAGACAAATGGCATAGTGTTTTAAAATGTACCTTCTGAGGGGAAATCCCAAGTGAAATTCAGCAGCAGGGAAAGGGGTATTACCCCTTCATTCTTTGTACTGAGAGTATCCCAGATGCATAGATGTGCAAAAGATGCAGAATATAAATGCAATGATCAGAACAAATCCTTACCCTCCCCATACACAATAATTGCTCAAAGTTTCCTCAAGCTGCATTAAAAAAAACAGTGGTATTCCAGCCACTACACTGCACTCTTGACTTAGTCATCTGACTGTTCTCCCACAAAAGATGTGGGTATTAGATGGAGGGATGAGAATACTAGAAGTTACAATCCCAAATTGGAGAGTGGCTGATTAGAAAAAGCTGCTGTAATATATTTTTTCGGACATGAGTGGAGATAAGCAATACATACTTGAAACTTTCTGAGATGAAATAAGGGAATAGAACAACTCTCCTAGTTGAGCTCATAATGCAGCTTTATTTTACCTGGATCTCCTCTATACTGTGAACAATGAACATGTCTTGCAAGTCTTCCATGGCACCTTCCATCCAGTTGTTGAATGGAGCAGCCCTCTTGGCAAACTCCAAGTGAAGTTGATCAATTGTTTCCAACAGTTTTTCTGTCCTCTTTAAAAAGACATACATAAATGAATTTACTTTTTCTTTTAGAAATGCACATTCATTTTTGGTTTCTATTAGGGAGTTTGAGCTTTGCAGCTTTTAAAGATGCACCACTAAACCCAAACAGGCAACCCAATCAGCAAGTTAAACAAATACTGCAACTTCTTAATATCTAATATCTTAATATCAATTTCTTAATATCTAGCAAATGTCAGCAAATGTTCCGTCTGGCTTTGCACCCTCCTATGAGTTTTCAGTGTATTGATGGTGAAGGTGTAATCCCATTGGTGCTTGTCGTATTTAACAGCAATACAGGGCCCATGATTTTCCCCAATTCAGACTACAATTAGAAGAGGTGAAACAGTCAGTTAGGCTATAGGAGATAATAAGTCATGGCAGTTGGCAGTAAGGGAGATTGGCCCAGGCAAGAGCTACATCATTGTTTAACACAGCTTTCCTCGTTAACTCTGGAATGTTTGGGAAGATGAAACTGTAACCTGGCACAATCCAGGAAAAACTGAGCTATTCTATCTAGTTAGCATCTGTACGATAGGCCTTGTATTCCTAGTGTCTATATCTGGATAGATGTCCTGGGACAAGATTCTTTTGTTGAAGACAAATGCTCTGTGAGTGTCTGACTGTTCCTGTAGCTGCAATTTGGGAATTCATTGGATTTTTTTTCTATTTCCACATATCTTTTTTTATCATAGATGCAAATGTTTAGGACTATATAATTTTTCAAACTTCTGGTGGGACTCAAATCCCATTTCATATTTTCCAGCCCAATGCACTCAATCCCAAGAATGGGTTCATATGTTTATACTAAACCTTAATGTGGTTGTTTTGGCTCAAAATATTTTGAGACCAGCCACTGCAATTTAATCAACATGTTATGATATATAAGTCATTATTCAACATGACGTGTACATCTATATATCTGTCTCTGCTTGTGTCTTACTACAAAGTTTAGTAGGATATTGGAAGTGGTTCCAAGAATAAGGAGGGGCACTTAGTTGCCAAGTGCCCAAAATGCGATCACATAACCACAGGGCTGTATGACAATTATAGCTTTGAGGATGGTTCATAAGTAGATTTTTTGAAGTTTATTGTAACTGAACAGTCATTAAGCGACCAATCATAAGTCAAGGAACACCTGTACATTAAACCTATTTAAACAAACTTTGTCATGAAATATAGAAAAAAAGTCATATAACTACACGAATCAATATTTTCATGCCAACTTCAGTTGGTTGGTACTTCATAACTGCATTTGACAGTAAGGTGACAAATCATTTTATAAATCAATTTATAAACAGAATAATGAGAGAAAACAGAACTCCCTAGAAATGTTGGGTGCCGTGTACAACTTCCATCACCATCAGCCAGCCTGACCAATAATCCTGTTGGCTGAAGATTGTGAATAATGTTGTTCATGCCCACACAGTTGAAGAATGCTGATCTCCCCACAAATCTTGAAAATGTAGTGCTTTAAAGAGTAAAACTATTGTCAACATCTGCTTTACCTCCAATACTTCTCTCCTTTTCTGAGTTAGGGTTCCCAATCTATCCCACTGATCACATATTTTCTGACATCGATCATTGACACTTGCTGCATCATGATAGTCCAACTCACTGAAAAAAAGGATACATGTTTAGCGAATCTTCACAAATATCCCAAATAACCAGGTGGTTCAATCCACACAATTCAGAGAACGCTAACCGTGTTCCTGATGTGACAGTTAGTTTTCACCTTAGGTTCTGGAAATTGCAGGTCAACTCCAGTTCAGAAATGCACAGGAGAACATAAAATGGAAATTACTTTATACTCTACATTAATTTTCTAATCTGGTTTGGGGTACACAGTGGCAATCCGAACATAAATAATTTATACACACAGTCAGAGAAGACGAATGTATCATTCCAACAATCATCACAAAAATACATCCAAGGCTTTTATTTTAGAAAAACAACTTTCAGATTGCTGCCTTTTGGATTTCTATTTTCTCGTCACTAATCTAACATGCATTAGAATTAATCTTCCATTCATACACACAGTTGATTTGTGAGGGAAAACATTTATGTTATTTATAAAGAAAATGTATGGCCTCCAACAGCTTTTTACCCATCACGATTTTACATATAGTAGAGAGGTATTATGCTAAGAGTGAAGTTATTTGGGCTGCAAAAATCCAGATGATCAATAGAAGTACAGTACAGAACATGCCAGATTTTTACAACCCAGATATGGTAGTTTTCAATAACTAGTGATATAACATCCATGTTATTTTGGGAAGCATTACTTTGGAGGTGTGAATTTCTAAACTGCTTCCCTCAACTGTAACTTACATTTTTATACAGGGCTTTTGTGCCCTTAACATCTGCTAGGAGGGATGCCCTACCAAAACAGAAAGTGACAACTCTCCACAGCTGACTCGCCATAGCTGACTCGGCATGGCCAACTTGCCAGGGGACAATTCGCCGTGGGACAATTCAATGTGGGATAACTCAAGAGAGGGACTAGTAGAATTGCAGCTCATCACAGCCTTGAGGACTTCTAATTTAAGAAGGTTCAAACCTAAAGCAAGACAAGGCCCTCTGAATTCACTTGTCCCTTTCTTGAGTTACCTCATGTTGAATTGTCCCACAACAAGTTGTCCCATGCTGAGTTGTCTGGGGTGAGTCAACCAGGACGAGACAGCCGCAGCAAGTTGTCCTAGACCCTTGCCAAAAACACTTTCAGGAATTAATCCTAATAACTAGGATTAACAAAAATCTTGATAACTAGGATTAACAGGTGGAAATGCTACTAGTTTTATGTATTTCTTCATTAGATAGCAGAGATGGTGTGCCATAGGGCATCTCCTAGTCTTTAAAATAAACAGTAATACCATAATAATGGATACATCTAGTCCAAAAATAATATGCCTCTATCAGAAACCATTTTCTAAAACTGTCTTGGTTTCCCTTGTGCAAAAACAAGACAAACTTCTGAAGGGTCAAAGAAATAACGGTTTCATAACTACCTATATTTTGCATTTTATTGTTGCAGTCTCTTTTAACTGCCAGATATGCATGTGTGGTTCTAAAGAGACTGGACATGTGTACTTTGTCCTCAGATAGTTGTTATTCTGAATATCTCATCATCAGCTACATTTAGCTCTTGGCTACTATTTGACTACTCCTGGTATGCTATTACTTATCAAAGTTATTATAATAATGTGAGTACATACTAGTCTAGGAATTAATCAAACATAAAATAACATTGTGACTTTAGGTCTGGGATTAGATGTTTGTACAAATTTTCTACATTTAAAGGGGGGATGTCTTAAATAATATTATAATGAATTTTAAAGTTTTCATAAGTAAGGGATCAATACTCTTAACCTCAGACAAAATCAGAGATAGATAAATTTTTTAATTGAACACAACATGTTCAACTAAACAGTTGAAGTTCCAGTGTAAGTATTCTGTAAGGAATCTCATGGTGGTTATAGCTCAGACAAGTACAGGACTATCAAACTGGCACTGAAAAAGTCTGGATGCCCACTAGATGGCAACAAAGAGATACAAATCAAGATATTTCTTTATATATGAATACATTCATATTTAAAACATTTATTCAAAATAAGCAGATCTTTTTCTAAGTAGATGCTCACTAGCCACCATTTTCATTCACTAATTCTTGCATTACTTTTTTATACTCTCTTACCAATGTATATTACACTTAACAGAATAAGTTAAGGAAAATGGTGCTATGTTCTTAATGGATCAGTTCATTGTGAACACTGCACAATTTTCCTCAACTCATCTCTGATTCTTTCCTTGTCATCATTTATTTCAATTAAACAGGACAGTTACCATCTTGGATTTTCACATAACAATCTAAATGATATCAATTTGTACTTTCCAACATATACTTTAGTCCCTTCATTATAATACTTACACATTTACTTCACTACAGGTATTCAACAACTCCATTCCATTCATAACTGTTATAGTCTTTCTCTGAGTTTTACAGACATGCATCTTATTTTTTCTTTCTTTATTTCATGCATTCATTCATATTTCTTACTGATTCCTCCTCATACATTCCAAATTGCACTATTCCATATGCGCTGGTCATCATATATATAATATTCCTCTCTGCCATCCATCAAACCTTTGGTCAATTGAGGCATTCACTCAATGCTTCTCAGTCCTATACAGCAGGTATAGGTGAGGTCAGCAGCTTTAGTTGCACCTATTCTACCTACAGCATTTCTGCTAATGGGAAGGACGGTACTGGGCAGTTTGGACACACCTTGGCCAATATGCCAAAAGCTTGGCCAAAGTTATTTTATTCTGTTCATGTTCACGCTAGTCACGCAAGTAGAAATTCTAAACTAGCAATTACCTTGCAAGCCAACACATTGCAGTTCATGAATGTGTTGATATGTACTCAAGATGCATCTGTATTCTTTTCCTTCACTGGACAGATTTGTACTTGAAGTTTGTAATTGCCTATAAGCTATTATTTTTGGAACTATACAGTTGTGGGAACTCAATGAAGGCTACCTTACTCACGTGGCATACATACAGCAGCCTTTATGCAAAGGCCATTGTTCAATAAGCCTTTAACAATTTTAATCTTTATGATCTTCACAACCTCAGCTGCCATAACAGAAAATGATAAAGCTACCACTGAACTTTAACCACCATAGGTCAAGGTCAAACATACCAATTGTTCTTCAAAAATAGCAACCTTGCATTGCCAAGTGATGGGAAGTAGAAATAGAGAGCCAAGCCAAACCAAACAGCATAAAGAACAATATCATTCTCTCAAAGGACCTGTAGTACTAATTGGCAGTGTTTAACCCACCTCATGCCCAAAATTTCTTAACCTGCCCATCTTTCTAAGAACAATTCCCAGAAAAGAAGATTAATACTTTCCTGATTATTGTTTTTCAATCAAAACCTATTTGAAGAGATAAACAAAAAGAGTATTCAACAATACCATCACTTAAGACTGAATTTGATCTACTGAAGGAAATTGTGTCTCATCTGCCTTGTTTCTGATGTTCATGGCCATGATATTATGTTAAGAATCAGACCAGTATTTCCCATTCAAACACTAACTCTGGCTGATCCTGCTTAACTTCTGAGCCCAACATCCTGTCACCTTGCAGCTTATGCTCCTGGCAAATAGCAGTCAGTATTGGCATTACTTTATCCTGTTCCTACACTAAAAATAATCAGTAGTCTTCAGATGTTCTTGAACCCAAGTTCCAACTGCTATAGCAACATCACTGATGCTGAAAAAGGATAAGTTTTGCTGTTCAGAAACATCTGATGTTAATATGGTATCACAAAAAGTGGATTTAAAATTCATAGACGATCTGAAAACCTCTTCACATGGGATGGACCAATTCAGAAGCATATCTCTGACTTAGAACTATTACCCACCTATTAGATATAAATGCCTCTTAAAACAAAACAAAATGTGCTAACTTCTTTCTATTCTGTAGATAGAGGTATAGATAGAAAATAACTACAAGAAATAATATCAACATCTCTGCAAACAATCTTAATGGTGAACATTGCAGTAACTGAAAAGAAATGAGGAACTATGAGACAGCTTTCCTGTTTAACATCACTTAGACTAAATATACTAAGTCAGAACTGACCCTTCCACTTCAAGATTACCAACCAGAAAGTGGACCAGAGAAAAGGTTTATTGTTAATTTAGCTTTGCAGTAGTTGCCCTGTTAAGGCACCTCTATTTTTAGCTAAGGAGGAAATCAAAAAGATGTTCAGGGAGCAGGCCAAGATAATAACACTTAGAAAGTTATCTGAGGAATTTTTACATTGTACCTATGACACTATCAAATTTATTGGAAAGAGTTTATCGGGTAAATGTCAGCAGCTGTGTGCCTCTAAATGGAACATACTTCAGCTCCTGGGCAATGGCAGCGATCTGTTCCACCCTGTCTTGGTGAGCAGCCAAGTCGCTCTCAAAAGCTTCATGTTTCCTCAACAAAGCCCGGATCTCTATCAGGGAAGCAGCTTCATAATCCTTCTGCTGCAGAATCTGCTCTTTGCCTGGTAAGAAGAGAGAAGAACCAAGCCACTGAGGTGGGATATTAGCAGGACTGATGACTAAGGGCCCAAAGGCTGAGAGAAATGACTGGCATTGTCAAAGAGCCCGAGAGTAGTAAGAGTCACATATCAAATGATATATAACAGTAAAGTTACTATTTAGTTGCCCAGAGTACAGCACCAAATGCTGCTGCTTCCCATTCCCCTTTAGTTTTGTCACCATGGGGATTCTGATCCAAAGCTGATGGGAAGCTATAATGATTATAAGATGGTGGTGATGATAGCACCTAGCAATAGCAGTTAGACTTATATACCATTTCATAGTGCTTTACAGCCCTCTCTAAGTGGTTTATAGAATCATCATATTGCCCCCAACAATCCTTCTCATTTTACCGACCTTGAAAGGATGGAAGGCTGAGTCACCGGCTGAGCCGGTGAAAATCGAACTGCCGAATTGCTGGCAGCTGGCAGTCAGCAGAATTAGCCTGCAGTACTGCATTCTAACCACTGCACCACCACAGCTCATAAGAGATCCATGCTGAAGAAGGCCTTTTTCCTGAATAGCAAACACTGCCCAAAGGCTCACAGGGAATGGTTAAACCAGCACTTTAGCAGCTGTTCCACCAATAACAAGTACACATAGACCCTTATTTTCTTGAAAGGTGCATGGCTAAAAGCACAATGCATGAAGAAATACTTCAGGAAAATATGGATATGTGGAGTGTATGATTTGCCACCTCTTCCAATCTGCCACACAATGGCAGATGTGCTATATTTACTTTAATACAGCTTTATCCATACATTGTTATTTGTCTCAGGATTATTTGTCTAACACTTTAAAATTCCAAAAGTTTTAAAAAGGTTAATTTCTATATGCAGATACGTTCTGAAAGCTTCAGTGTTTTACTAGAGCAAATCTTTGAGAGCATTGAAGGCCCCATATTTACTTCAGGCTCTTGACCTGCACCGCTTGTGAATCACCAGTATGAACATTTTTTACTGTCTGGGTGTACATGGAATTTCAAGATAATTAAATAAATAATGAAACATGACAGCAAAAACAAATTGTGACTCAAATCGACACAAACATCACTGGTAAAAGTCAGGTTTTCATTGCTTTTCTAAAGGCAAGCAAATCTGGGTCTTACCATATAAAAGGGAAAAGACTATTCCAGAGCACAGGAGCTCCCACCAAAAAGGCACCATTTTACTACCCATAAGATAGCAATTTTCAGTGAGAGAACCAGGAACATACCCTCATTATGGGAGCATGGTGGACAAGCAAAAAAATTTGGGAAAAGGCAGTCCCACAAGTAACCTGATCTCATGCCAGGTATGACTTTAAGGTAATAACCAGCATCTTGTGATGAAGATGATCCAGCAGTCATCTCTTGAGGAGGCAGATGTACCATTACCTCTTCCAGAGCCAACAGAACCACCCCCTTCCACAAGGAAGCATTTACTACTGCATGGAACCACCCGCATACCTTCCCCCCTCCCCCCCGAGGCCTGATCCAGGAGGGCATTGGCTCTAAATACAGGTGGCCCTAGCTCTGAACATCCTGTCAACTTTCTTGGGACCAAAATATTTAAACCCATCCCAGATAACATCCCAAGACTGTGCCTCTGTCACCTCCACCTTCTTAGCTGGAATCCAACTCAGAATGAATCTGAGTTATCTGCTGAATAAGATTACATGTCAGCAGGTTGCATATTATCAGGAGCTAAGGAGCTATCAGATAAGGTAAGCCTATTGACTTTCTTTTTCTTTTACAATTGATATTTTAGTTGTTACGTCAGCTTTTGTATCCCTCAGTCTAGTCTATTCCTTCCTCCTATGTTGTTACATATTCTTCATCTTCTCTTTTTTGTCCACTTTTTTCATTTGAACCATGCATTTGATTTTAAATTCTATTTCAAAGAGAAAATACTGGATAGATATTTTTGCAGGCAAGGGGATCCCAACTTACCATATGACCAGGTTTCATGCGATGTAGCCTTTTGCCTAAACTTAGCAGCCAGATGTTCAAGCCGTTCAAGCCTTCGTATTTCATTCAACAGCCATTCCTCATAGCCCTTCTCTGCTTGTTCAAGTCTTTGCCAAGCACTGGCAATATCCTACAAAAGCACAGGGATATTATAAACCCAATACTTTAAATCTTTCAAGATGTATCTCAAGAAGGGGTTTTCAGATTGGCTAAGCATTTTCTATGACTCCTGCTTGTCTGACCCTGACCCAAAATTTAGATTGAGAAGGACTGTCTTTCTTGCTATCTTAGCTTTCTAAAGCACCGTTAGAGAAAACAGAAATGGACAGTGAATTATTGTAATGAATGTGAAATCATTTCATTACAATAATTCACTGTCCATTTCTCTTTTTCCCAGAATAATATGATGAAAATATATATTTGGTAAAAGACATAACAATTCCGGTATGGTGTAACTAACTACTAGAATATGCCTCCTCAAACCCCCACCAATGTCAGGTAACAAACTCTGGATGGGCAAAAATAGTTCTGAAAACTTCTAATCTCACGATGAAAGGTAGACAAGGTGGCTGCTTTCTTAATAATGTCAATAATATCACAAGCCTAACTCTACTGTTTTCTGCCTATTTTGCAATTCTTTATTAAAATAGTTGTGGTTCTCATGTAAAAAGGGAGTACCTGTGCATCTATAAATGTAATCATTTCTCAATCATTTTTTTAAAATAGAGACAGTCGGATAATCAGGAATGGATTAACAAAATGCTGAGACTCTAATAATATGTAGGGATGACCTTGGAAGACAGGAGGGAGAGCTGTAAATGAGCATGTAAAAGATGTCTCAGCCCACCGAAGGAGGAATGGCATGGGAAATTTTTCAATAGGACCCTCTCGAGTTTACTCTGGAGAGTAAAAGGAAAGAAGGGGAGAAATGCTTTCAGTCTTTAAGACTCTGTTAATGTTGCCTAACAATAAAGATAGAGCTACTAGTCCTGGTTGTGCTTCTTGCCTGAACTATCTCACCAGGCTTTTAAAGATTGAACCACATCAAAAAATTTACTCCTCTGGATTTGCTCTTGATTCCCTTCTAATGCAGGTTAGTTGCTTTACGGAGATTTAAACCATTTTCCAGTTTCCAGAACTGAAAGGCTTTATAGCGTACAGGCACTGCTACTTACTGAGACCATCTTCCCTTCTGATGGCATGAAAGCTGGCCTGTTGCTGATCCTCAGTTTCGTCTGTAAAGTGTTGAAATTGATCTCCAACTGGCATTTTTCCTGGATCTTAGGAGGCTTGTGCTTACGGCGATAATCTCTGAAGTCCTCTAACTTCTTTTGCATAGCTACCATCGTCTTCTCTGGGGTCCTGTTTTCCAGCCAAGGGGTTGTACGCCGAATCCATTCTAAAAGCTGTAGATATGTTAGCAAATAACAAAAGAAATTTAAAAAAATAGAAATAAAAGAAAAACATTCCTAATTTAATATCTTCTACAATAGCTTAAACATTGGATCAGATTTCCTGGGAATGGGTTTCCACCCTTAATACTATGGGATTGTTTTTTACTTGTGGTCGGCTAAACACGGCATATTAGCACTCATGATAATGGTGAATGGATCATCATGCTAAAGTAAGGGGAAGCAAGCATATTATAACTTGACAGGTAGGGAGAACCCAATTATTGCCTTCCAGTAGACCACTGGGGTTGTAAACCTTTGAGAAGTTAAGAAGTACAGGGCATTCTGGGATAGGCTGCAACCATGACCATTTTGTCTGGCAGTAAATTCCAAAAGGAAGGTATGGCTGTGGTTGATAGTTGACATCTAACAGAGCCAGTTTGGACTAGTGGTTGAGGAACCAGGCTAGAAACTGGGAGACCATGATTTCTAGTCCCCTCTTAGACAGGAAAACCTGGCTGGGGACTTTGAGCCAATCAATCTCTCTCAGCCCAACTCACTTCACAGGGTTCATGTTATGGGGGAAAATAGGAGGAGGAAGGAGTATTAGATATGTTCACCACCTTGAGTTGTTTATAAAAATAATAAAGGTGGGTTACAAATAAAATAAATAAATAAATAGATAAGGGAGCCAGGAGTGGCTGAAATCCCTTGACAGGGTAAAAACAACAGCCTTCCATTTATTTTAGCTAGAGCTTCTCTTCAATTTTGTTTGTAAGACTATAATCTTTACCCATTGACTGGGTTCAGACAACATGCTAAATCCTAAATCTGGATTTTAAAAAATTGATGTGTTCATGGAAGGTGCTATGTCCAAAACAAATATATTCCATTAGATAATGGCCTGCTTTATATAATAGACTAATGCAATAAGCATATTTCCTAAGAATGCTGAACCACAAACCACAAACCATCCAATCCATTTTACCTAGTCCACTGTGTTGTATGGACAAAGTTCTTATACACATATTTCTATAATGTTGTCATTTATTGTTTTAAGTTGGTCAAAATCTAAAATTAATCCAGAATATGGTAGAAGCAGAAATAAGAGATGTAGTCAGGCAAGAATTGCCAACTTGCATCAGATTTAATACTTCCCTATTGCAATTAAAAACAAGCATGTTTATTTTAATATCCTAAAAAAGAAACTACATATAGAAAGGGAGATTCCTCCCACATTGACTATATTCAAAAAAGAAAGCCTCAGTAATAGTTAACAGTTTTGTAAAACTTTTCTATCCTTATAAAATTACACGTAAAATGCTTTGGTATCAGAAGCAAACCTCACAGTTATGACAAGCTTCGCCTACCTCACTTGCTAGCTTTTCATATTCTTCCATCAACTTTTCATTTTCTTGATTCACAGCGAGTACCTTACAAATCCGATTAGCTGCTGTTTCTGCCTGGAAAATCCAGAAAATTGAACAGTATAGGTATGTTGTTAGATTCACAGAGAAACAAAATGTGAACGATGATCCAGTGGCTACTGCAGCATAAAATAATGAGCACATCCAGCCATTGGTTTTTATTAGTTTAGGTACATTGTTTTTGTCTCTTCCTTCATGCATGGAATCACAAAATTCTCTAATATCATATAATTTAAGATTGGGGGAATAACAAAGTGAGACATTCCACAGAGACAATAAGGATAGACAACTACATAGATAAGTGACATGATGCATGTTGTTCTTATTATTTCAAGGATCACTTCCTTCTTGCAGTTCCATTTTCTAAAATCAGTGATTGAAGTACATAAAAGAGAAAAATTGGGCTGTCTCAGGAATATAAAGTACTTCTCATACAGCCATACTTCACATGCATTAAGCTGCTTCAGTGGATGATACACATAGGGATTTTCATCACCTACAGATCTAGATAGGTTTGCATTATTATCCCTGCTTAATTGAATTGCGGTTAATTTAAAGTTTTACATCATAAAATCTCTTTTTTAAAATACTAAAATTCTACTGAATAATTCATGCTGTAAAGAGAACTATTTTCTGAATTCCGAGTATTGGAATTGGATTGGTTCATACAAAGTATCTGTTTTTATTTTGGAGATGTGTGTGTGTGGTTTTTTTGTTTTGTTTTGCTTTGCTTACTTAATTATGGATTCATGTGTATGAAGAAACTCTGCTGTGAAAAGGTACTTATATAGACACAATGAAGTCATTCCTCAGAGCAGCATAGAAGTTAATGGCAAAATTGACCATTTGCCTGTATAAGTGTCCACTTCATATAGGAAGTTTCTCTACTTGGATGGGTATATAAGCATACCACTGCATGTGGGGAAAAAAAGTGTAACCTCTTTGTGAGAACTGGCACTAAAAGACACTTCACAGATAAAAACTTCTATCAACCCTAGAATCCAATATGATTCAAGGAGAAGTATCTTAAAAGTTATAATATTGAGTCCACTGTGGAGAATAAATGGAAATATGGGGGTTATCAGCTAACAAAGAAGGCATGGGGTCTAAGCATACCACTGAGCTGAGGTGTTGAGATGCTTAGACTTCAAAAAATTAATAACCTAACATTGAACCTTGGAATTACACCCTACTAGCCTATGTCCAACAAGGTGCCTGCACTTCTATTCCAAGTTCAACAAATTTTGAAGAGCCAGTGCTCCAAAACAGCTTCAACATGAGCCCATGGAGAAATAATGGAGTGTTAGGTTTCTGGATAAAGAATATCACTTTCTGAAAAACTATTTCTGGAGAATTGAGAGAAAATAGTACAGTACTACAATAATCAGACTTGAATACTTCTTGAGTTCTGTCCAAGGTCCTGAAAACCTGCTCAATTCACCATAACATTCAAAAATCCAGAGATTGAGAAAACAATTCCTTTTTTGTTCCCTCTTTTTGCTTAGGACTTCCTGTCAGATCTGCCCTCTTATGACCTGTCATTCAGTTCTACATTGCTAGGACAGGACAGAAGTGTAGTTTGGAGATTGTAGTGACACCAGCACTCTTGCTTTCACAAGACACATTTCATTTCTCCAGCAAATATGGCCAGTATATCTAGGGAGCACTAGAATGAAAAAACTTATGCTGGATTGTTTGAGCTAGAACAGAAGAAAAGTGGAAATTCTGAAAATTCTAAATCTTTATAACACTACCATTCACTGGGTGAATTGACACAATATACGTAACATAGTAACTGCATCAACCCATTTTGGGAATTCACACAATGAATTCAACGCTAAATTAACTAAACAGTCTGGATCTGCAACATGTGCTAAGCCACAAAAAAAACCTACCTGAGGATAATACTAACTACATTTGACATGCTATGCAAAAGCATATGTTAGGTTACAACTGAATTAGAACTGCTGTTCAATGCCAGTGATATTATATCTTAATTAAATGTTTGCATTTTGTGCATAAAGTGTATTGATATTTTTCAACTATAGATCATTTATCAGATTACTCAATTAATTACAGTAACTCTTATATTTTTTCTTTATGCTCTAATATTTCTATGGCATTTTTAAAAACTAGAGAGTCATCTGTTACTTGAATTCTTTTAAATATCTTGAAATAATTATTTCAAGAAAGCTTTGTTCATCCATAGATATAGCTATAGCTTTTTAAACTCTCATATAAATATTGGCTTATTTGTTTATTAAATGTACATACTGTGAAACAATGAAACTAAAAAGAGAACTAAAGAAGGGAAACACAATTAATAGCAAGAAAAATAAATAAATGATGATAAGAATGACAAACCAGACAGGAACAAAGCAAAGAGACTTAATTTTCCTTTGCCAAAGGCCCAGGCAAAGAACCAACTCATCATGGCCTTTCTAAACAACAGCAAGTTGGGGCCATATGGATATTGGGGGGGGGGACCTCATTTCAGAGTACATGAACTGCTACAGAGAATGCCCCAGGGTCCTGATAGATGGCCTTGTTTAATCTAAGGACTCTGGAATGTGCCAGCCCTGCAATGTTGAATTGGCCATGCCGATATTGTAGGACAGAGGTCCCTAACCTTTTGGGCACCAGGGACTGGTTATGTGGAGAGAGGTTTTTCCACGGACTGGAGGGGGCATGGTTTTGTGTGCTGCCTGCATCTCAAGGATGGGGCTTTGCTTGTTTGTGCGGACCAGCTGCTGGCCTGCCGTGGCCCAGTACTGATCCACGGACCGGGGATTGGGGACCCCTGCTGTAGGAGACAAACAGTCCTTCAAGTAACCAGCCTTTTTCCATTTAGGACTTTATAGATAACAACCAGCACTCTGAATTAAAAACCCCACTGAGTTTATGGGGAACAACAAATGGGATAAAAATGAATATTTCTTCAAAACTAGCACTACTTTAATGCTATAACCTTTATGTTAAGAAGCCTTATAATACATTGACATTTTTCTTTGGCAAAGACCCTAGATTTTATCTAATTATTGTATTATAACTGTATCATATAATTTCAGTTCATTTTTTTAAATCACTCCTGATGTGGTAGTTTTTAATTTATGAATCTGATCATGACTGACTTAATCTGATTTTAATTTATGAACCTACTATAAAAATAACAGATTTTTTATTATCTTCTAATTTGTTCATAAAATAGACTAGAAAAGCCATAATCTTAATATATGTATGTAAACACATTTTGATCTATTTACATTTCATTGAAGGAAATTTAATAGAGTCATAGAAGCAAAAATAATATAATCATGAACTAATGTAAAAATAATATTCCCAAAAGTAGTTTGTGACAAATGTCTCAGGAGAGTAATTGTTGGAAGAAGCAACTATCAATTAATTAATTAATTTAGCAATATTAAGAACGTCACATTCTATTACATACACTTTGGTTTGCAATTTTTCTAGGTTGAATGATGCTCAAATGTACTATACTAATAGTCATTTCAAAGAAATAGCAGTGTTAATCTGTTATAATAAAGACAGACATATTTCAGTAGCATCTTAAAAAAATAATTTATTTAACTTCAGTCACAATAAATAAAT